TTTGGAAAGAACCCCGTGGGCTAGCAGGAGGGACAGGCCTTGGTTTATCACTCCAGATGACAGCTGGAGAGCCATGATGTGTCTCCTTTCTCTCCTCACAGTGGTGTCCAGCGTGACTCCCAGTAGTAAGAACAGACCATGAGGAATAGCTGGAAATATGTTGTGAGATATCACAGGATAAGCTCAAATAGAAGATCAAAAGGTAGAAGAGATTACCTGCAGACTGGGTGTGCAGTCTGCTCTTTTAGAAGTCATAGGGCAAAAAAACAACTTCTGGAAGAGATGAAACACAGGCATGTGAGACTAGATGAATTTCCCAGATTAATTAGAAGCAGTGCCCAAGGTTTCCTGGAAAAAAATACACACTTTGAAACCAAACGGTCGCCGACATTTATGTAAATAGGTGTCCAAATTCTTCTCCAGAAATGCCTAAAGTCTTTTTTTTTTTTTGGTTTGGTTTTTGTTATTTTACATTAAGCCAAGGAAGCTTTCCTTTGCCGAACACAAGTACCATCTTGTCTTGAGGGGAAGTTGGTTCAAGAGTAGTTTGTTCATTTGCCACGAAGTCCCAGTGGGGAGCCTGCTTTGAATCCATTTGTGTCAGGAAAGAGGACATTCAGACGCACGGGTATGGAAACAGTGCTATTTTATATCCTTCCTTGTCTTTGTTCTAACAACAAGATGGGATGTCAATATTTTTTTTTCTCACATCCTGGAAGGGTTTGAAGATGAAGCCCTTCCCTTCCTGCTCTCAAGAAGAGAAGCCAGCTTTGTAGACAGAGAAAGTGAGGACGGGAGACACTTTTTCCGGGAGACGGGGGTAGTGGGGGCGGTGGAGGGGTGGTGGTGGTGGTGGTGGTGGTTTGAAGCTGAATGAAGCTAAAATCAATGTTTTTGTTTGTTTGTTTGTTTGTTTGAATGCTAGTTTAGTCCAGTTCAGGCCAGACTTGGCTCAAAGAGAAGCATTGGCCAGACTGAGAAAGAAAGGTGGGAAGACCAGCTCCCCTTGGATTTGGCTTCCTGTGTCTGCTGTGGTTTCCTGAGAGCAGACACACCTTCCTCCCAGAGCCGTTCCCATAGATGTAGGCATAGCTTTTCTTAATCTTACCTAGGGCAGCTCTACTCAGAGCCAAATCCTTCTACAGACAATAGAGACTGGCAAAGAAGGGCACTGGAGAGAAAGGAGGAACTCAAACTTGTCAGGAGTCTGACACCAGTCTCCACTGCGGTCCCCCTCTCTCAGGCAAGGTCCCTGGCCTAGCTCTCTAAAGAATGAAAGAACGAGGCCAGGGTGATGGAAATCTGTATGTTTCTTTTCTTTTTGTCAGTCATGGGGCTTGAACTCTGGGCCTAGGCACTGCCCCTCAGCAATTCAGCTCAAAGCAAGCACCCTACCACTTGAGCTGCAGCACCACTTCCAGTTTTCTGGTGGTTCATTGGAGATTAGAGTCTCACAGACTTTTCTGCCCAGGCTGGCTTTGAACCATGATCCTCAGATCTCAGCCTCCTGAATAGCTAAGATGACAGGCATGAGCCACCAGTGCCCGGCTTCCTGTGAATACTTCCAAAGATGCCTTTTGGAATTCTGCTGTGAATGTACTTTGACCCCAGGGCTGGCTATGTTAAATATCTTTTAAAAAATGTTTTTTAATTGTTATAAATATACAGAGGGGTTAGAGTTACGTAAGTCAGGTAAAGAGTACATTCCTTTGGGACGGTATCACCCCCTTTATTTTGAATATCTGAACGTTATCTGGTACAGGCATTCTTCCTGCATGGAACATATTTGATTTCCTGAATCACTTCTTGATAGAGATGTCTCCTGATAGGGCATCGGGCCACTGTTTGGACTTAAAGCCTCTCCCTGTAGAAGGCACAGGCAGAGCAGGCTGATTGGTTGAAGGAAGCCATCCATTCCAGGCCATATCAGATACTTGGCTTTGCTTCCTTCATCTTGTAGAAGGACAGAGAGACAGATTTCCTCTGAGGGGCACCCCAAGAGCCCAATCTGATTCCTCCTTCCCCCATTCAGCTTCCAAGATCTCTGGTAACACCAAGAGATTTCTTTGTCCCTGATGTATTAAAGGGTCTTCAGCTCCCATGACTTCCTATTGGTGAACTACCCGTCAGAACCGAGAATGAGCTATGAGTGGAGAAATCTTAAGAAGCAATAAGGGCTGGGAAGGTGGCTCAGTGGTAGCGTGCTTGCCTTACATGCCTGAGGCCCTGGGTTTGATTCCTCAGCACCACATAAGCAGAAAAATCCGGAAGTGGTGCTGTGGCTCCAGTGGTAGAGCACTGGCCTTGAGCTGAAGAGCTGAGGGACAGCACCCAGGCCCAGAGTTCAAGGCCCACAACTGATCCTCCCCCCTCCCCCCTGCAAATCGGCTTCATGTGAAATGACTGTGCTCAGCTGTAGGCTGTGGATATTCTCAGTGTGTTTTAAGGTAGGCTGGATGAAGTGATAACGTCTGGTACGTTAGCAGAATCAAATGTACTTTCAACTTAGGATCCTTTCCATTTCTGATGGGGTTTAATCAGAGTGAATCCCTATGGTAAATCAAGGAGCATTTGAATATATTCCTTGGCGTCTTTCTTTTTCTCCCTGGGAAAAAAGAAAAATGTGGAAAGCCAGAATCCTTCATTTGCTAGACTACGCCCTGGGAAATAAATTGGGTTTATTATTCAAGATAGCAGACAGAAGAGCTGGGTGTCGGTGGCTCACGCCTGTCATCCTAGCTACTTAGGAGGCTGAAATCTGAGGATCATGGTTCAAAGCCAGCCTGAGCAAGAAAGTCTGTGAGACTCTGATCTCCAAGGAACCACCAGAAAACCGGAAGTGGCACTGTGGCTTAGGGGTAGAGCACTCACCTTGAGACGAAGAGCTCAGGGACAGCGTCCAGGCCCTGAGTTCAAGACCCACAACTGACCAAAAAAAAAAAAAAAGATGAAGTGGCACTGTGGCCCAAGCAGTAGAGCGCTCACCTTGAGCTGAAGAGTTGAGGGACAGCACCCAGGCCCAGAGTTCAAGCACCACGATTAACAAAAAGAAAAAGAAAGAATAACAGAGCAGCTGTCACCCCAGGGAAGACATGGAACAGCCCTGTCCTCATCCATCACGGGAACTGTCAGCCGAGTGTGGGCGTTTGTGCCCAGGAGGGAATCCCTGCTTCTCTGCCAGCTTGCTCACCGGAGTGAATGATGTGATCATACAAATACTGACAGAACCGTTAGTTGTTGGGAAACGTAGAGAGAAGCAGAGATATGAGTTAAACCGAGCTGACTCCTCACTGATTAATAAAAAAGAAAGTCTGCACTCTAGAGTGACAAGTCAGGGAAAACTGTAGACTAAGCATTGGTGTTTTGAGATATGGGGGCGTGATCGGCAACAAAGATGGAAGTGGGAATCAGAGGTGGGTGTCTCCCTAAAACTGCGATACAGGGAGTGAGTTCAATCTGAGTACACGCTTTTCAAAAAAAAAATTTTTTTTTTGTCAGTCATGGGGCTTGAACTCTGGGCCTGGGCGCTGTCCCTCAGCTCAAGGCGAGCGCTCTACCACTGAGCCACAATGCCACTTCCTGTTTTCTGATCGTTCGTTGGAGATAGGAGGCTCGGACTTTCCTGCCCTGGCTGGCTTTGAACCGTGATCCTCAGATCTCAGCCTCCTGAGTAGCTAGGCTGACAGACGTGAGCCACCAGCACCCAGCTTGAGAACAGATCTTGATTCCCAGAGGCTGAAAAAGCTAAAACAAGCATTACTTACAGTATCCCTTCCCTCATCCAGAAAATCCAAAGTGGCCTTTGGCACATCTCTGAATGAAGCCTGCATCCTGGTGCGGTAGGAGAAAGGTTTCTCCTTCCCTCTCTCCCTCCCTTCCTCCCTCCCTCCCTTCCTTCCTTCCTTCCTTCCTTCCTTCCTTCCTTCCTTCCTTCCTTCCTTCCTTCTTTCCTTCCTTCCCTCCTCCTTCCTTCCCTCCTTCCTTCCTTCTTTTTCTTCCCCCTTCCTTTGATCCTTTTTAAAATTTACTTTTATTTCTCCCCTTTCATCTCTCCCTCCTTTTCCCTTTCTTTCTCCACCTTCCTTCCCTTTCCCTTCCCCTTCACTTCTCTTTCTTTCCTTTTATTCCCTTTCCTCTCTTCCTTCTCTTTCCTTCCTTTTTTTTTGGGTCGTGGTGAACCCTGGGCCTGGGTGCTGTCCCTCAGCTCTTCAGCTCAAGGCTAGCATGCTATCACTTGAGCCATAGCACCACTTCCGGCTTTTCTTTTTTCTGCTTATGTGGTGCTGAGGAATTGAACCCAGGGCCTCATGCATGCAAGCGCTCTACCACTGAGCCACCTTCCCAGCCCCTCTTTCCTTCTTTCTTTTTCTTCTTTCCTTCCTTTGATCCTTTGTTTTTATTTCTCCCTTTCCATCTTTCCCTCCTTTATCTCTTTCTTTCTCTCCTTCCTTTCTTCTCTTTCTTTCCCTTTCCATTTGCTTCTCCTTTCCTTTCCTTCCCTTCCCTTCCCTTCCCTTCCCTTTCCTTCTCTTTCCCTCCCTTCCTTCCTTTCCTTCCTCCTTCCTTCCTTCCCTCCCTTCTTTTCTTCTTTCCCTCCCTCCCTCCCTTCTTTCTTTCCTCCCTTCCCTCCCTCCTTTCCTTCTTGCCTTTGGAAGAATTGCTCCACTTGGATTGCCTTGACAGAGGCCTATCTGTGACAGCAGAGAGCCTCCACAGAGGGGTGGAACCTCTTATTCCCAAGCAGGAAGTCACCGGCTGTGGGCCTCACCACCCCCTCCCTCTCCTGCAGATTTTAATCCCTCCACACGTGGCGTGATCTCAGCAAAGTCACATCCTAGTGGTCATAGGAATCAGGTGAATTTTTTGTCGGGTTTTGCTTCCCTGAGTATGTGCGTGGAGGCGATCGGAGCCGGTGGACAGCAGTCAGTTATTAACCAGGCAATAACCCACAGGAATTGCGTTGGAGGAGTTCTGGGCCCAGGCCCCATGACCACGCAGAGATGACTGATGGACCGCTGGTTAGATCTTTGTTTCAGTGTCTAGTGTGGAGAAGAGACTTCTTGTCTCGCTGTGGCAATGAAAAGAAACCATGTCCCTTTGTCCTTCAGCCTGGGCTGTATGTAGGGGTGATGGGAGGATGTGTCCTTACAGTTTACCCTTTATGGTTGTTTTACTCATCTTTTATTTTATTTGTCAGTGGTGGGGCCTGAACTCTGGGCCTGGGCGCTGTCCCTGCACTCTTCAGCTCAAGGCAAGCACTCTACTACTTGAGCTACAGCGTCACTTCCGATTTTCTGGTGGTTTATTGGAGATAAGAGTTGCATGGACTTTTCCTGCTTGGGCTGGCTTTGAACCGTGATCCTCAGATCTCAGCCTCCTGAGTAGTGGGATGACAGGCGTGAGCCACTGGCGCCAAGCTGACAAATGCCATTTCTATGACTTGCAAATGTCATGACTTTATAAATTCTAAATGATGAAGGACAGCACAACCAGATGAGTGTGCAGTCTGGATAAATATTCTTTTTTCTTTTCTGCCAGTCCCAGGGCTTGAACTCAGGGCCTAGGGCGTTATCCCTGAGCTTCTTTTTTGCTCAAGGCTGGCCTTCTACCACTTGAACCACAGCGCCACTTCTGGCTTTTTCTGTGTTATGTGGTACTGAGGAATCGAACCCAGAGCTTCATGCATGCTAGGCGAGCACTCTACCACTGAGCCACCTACCCAGCGCCCCCACCCCTGATGGATTGGTATTCTTGAGCAGGGGTTACTGGTTAAGAATACAGGATTGAGCCATGTTACAAGCCTGGCTGCTGGTCCACGCCCCGGAAGACTCTGGGGCCTACTGTATGGAGACCTCACGACATTGTCATCTGTCCCCTCTGTCCCCCCACAGGTGTTTGTGTTCTGCCATGGTCTCCTGCAGCTCTCCCAGCTCCTCTACAGCGCCTACTTCAAGAGCAGCCTCACCACCATCGAGAAGCGCTTTGGGCTCTCCAGTTCTTCCTCGGGTCTCATCTCCAGCCTGAACGAGGTGAGCAGGAGACATTGGGCCATTAGACACCTGTGTGTCTCATCCTGACCCCATGGGATACAGAGAAGAGGGCCGGGTGTCCAGAGACCTCTTGGAAGAGACACAGAACGCACCTGCTAGATGTCCCATTGCCAGGTTTGACTTCGGTAGTGCCTCACACGTCCTCCTTATGCACGACACACAGCAAGGAAACAAATCACTGACGTGTGTGTGTCAGCATAGTCTTGCCCCGTGTCCCCTGGCATGTGTCACAAGTCTTCTTACCCTGCTGATTCTAGCCAACAGCTTCTGGATCTTTCTCAATGTAGCGTTCTAGGTTCCTCTGCTTAATCAACGCTAAAGCCAGCATCCAAGAGGAAACCTTCTTCCAAGCTCAGCCCAGATGGTCACCAAGTCTTTTTTTTTGGTTGGTCGTGGGGCTTGAATTCTGGGCCTGGGCGTTGTGCCTGAGTTCTTCAGCTCAAGGCCAGAGCGCTCTACCACTTGAGCCACGGCGCCACTTCTGGCTTTCTGGTGGTTGATTGGAGATGAGAGTCTCACGGACTTTCCTGCCCAGGCTGGCTTTGAACCGTGATTCTCAGATCTCAGCCTCCTGAGTAGCTAGGATGACAGGCATGAGCCACCGGCGCCCAGCGTAGTTGCCAAATCTTTGAGCTCCCAGGATACATTCTTGTTCCGATGGCTCAAGATAAAAATGTCAATCCAGGAACAACTGGCTGTTTTCAGAGGGCATGAAGTTGCTGGGCTGGGGCATCTGCATGTTCTGTTTAAGACAGGAGGGAGTGGTTGGGCGAAGAGGGGACATATTTCCCCCCATACTCTGGCCTAATCAAAATGAAAATAACACACACACACAGAGTTGTTGCACGCGGCTTATTGTTATTCTGACTGCCAATCCGGAGTCCTTGAGTTCTTTACTTAGGATCTCTGGGTCTCACTCGGCCCCTCGGCTCTCTCCACAGATCAGCAATGCCATCCTCATCATCTTCGTCAGCTACTTCGGCAGCAGAGTACACCGGCCGCGGCTGATTGGCATCGGGGGCCTGCTGCTAGCTGCAGGTGCCTTCGTTCTCACCCTTCCACACTTCCTCTCGGAGCCGTACCAGTACACTGCAGTCAGCACTGGTAAGTGATTCCCCCAAACCAAGCAACGAATACACAGCTCTGGTGTAGCCAGGCAGCAGCGGCTCACACCTGTCATCCCAGCTACTCAGGAGGATGAGATCTGAGGATCATGATTCAAAGCCTGGGCAGGAAAGTCCACATGAGACTCTGATCGCCAATGAACCACCAGAAAACCGGAAGTGGTGCTGTGGCTCAAGTGGTAGAGCGCTCGCCTTGAGCTGAAGAGCTCAGGGACAGCACCCAGGCCCAGAGTTCAAGCCCCACGACCACCACCACCAACAGCAAAAGTCAAGGGTGTAGAGTAGATCAAGTCTAAGAGATGAATTGGTTGGAATGATGGAGGCGATTCCTCTATAGGAATGGAGCGTTAATAGAGTGATCTCATGATGTAAGGTCCACTGGGTTGTGCTTCGGGAAGCCTCTCTCCTGCCTTCTCCGTATATCATCGGTGCCCTGGTCACTTCTCATAAGTGCACTGGGGTCTTGGATCTATTTGCATTTAAAAGCTGGGTCCTGCTTCATGGAGGTTGGGAAAGGTTGAAGACAGATCTGAGCTCACCCGCCCACCATTCTTCTCCTGTACCTCCTCTCTTCCATCTAGATAAAATGTCAAAACCAGTAGTGAAGGAGTCTGGAGCTGACCTCCTTCCTTCCCTCCCACCCCCATGCGTCAAGATGGGGCTTCATGCAATCAGGAAGGGAGTCTAGGGGGGCCCTGGGGACCAGGCCACAGCCCATTCACATCACCATGGCATGGTGGCTAGAGATGGAGCCTCGCTCTGCTCCTTAGCTAGTGGGATTGGATTCAGCTCCCCAGTGGGAAATGCCCTGTGATGGGTCTAACGTGAGCCTCAGTGCTCTTAGGGCCCAGATCATCTTGAAAGAGGACAGGAGGGGACCATGAAAAGGATATGCCTCTCAGGGTCCCCCCCCCAACTCCGCAGGGGAACAAATCAGCCGGGAGGAACGGACTGTTTTGTTTGGGCAAATTCTGATTGCCAACAATGGGACTGAGCAGTCACGCTTTGGAGCCACAGCTGGCATTGGAGCCACAGCTGGAAGTGCTCAGGGGTTGGGCTATCTTCAGGGCATCTTCCTGTTGCCAGGAGGTGGGGTGAAGAGGAAACTTTGGACCAGGAGCTGCATCTGGGGGGGGGTGGAAATCTCACTGGGCCCATCCATGGGGTCCCCACGTAGCGTGGGTGTGTGATAGGTGAATAGGTACAAAGAAACATACTCGTCCGTCTCACTGAGTGTGTGTGTATGGGAGGGAAAGACGGGCACGTGACTCCTATTTCGAATGTATTGTCTACGGGAAACAGCACATGATGCAAGCTTGTCAGGAACAAATGCATCTCGTGGAGTGGCCGCCCCCTGAAGAATGGGGGTGACTGAATGGCCCCCCCTGGAGCCTGGCAGTTGGGAGTTGAGATGCTCTTAGAGGGCCAGACTGGGAAAACCTCTGAGCCTCAGCTCCTCCCCGAGGATCTGTCTTATAGACCTCATAGCCTCACAGTTAATCTAAGGGTGGTTCTTTGTAGGCTGGTAGGGGCTGGTAGGGGGACAATGTATGTCTCTAATGACACTGGATACATGACTAAGTCTTTGGAATCCTTGATGAGGAAGCACCCTGCTACTTACTACTACTACTACTATTGTTATTATTATTATTTTGTCAGTTGTGGGGCTTGAACTCTGGGCCTGGGCGCTGTCCCTCAGCTCTTCAGCTCAAGGCGAGCGCTCTACCACTCAAGCCACAGCACCATTTCTGGCTTTTAATGTTTCTGTGGTGCTGAAGAATCAAACCCAGGGCTTCATGCATGCAAGGCAAGCACTTTACCACTGAACCACCTTTCCCAGCCCAAAGGGCCTCTCACTCTTGCTTGGCTTTTTCGCTCAAGGCTGGTATTCTACTACTCTTGAGCCACAGCTCCACTTCTGCCTCTTGGCTGGTTAATTGGAGATGAGAGTCTCATGGGTTTTCCTGCCCTAGGATAGCTTCAAACCACAATCCTCCCAGACGCCAGCCTTCCTAAACAGCTAGGGTTACAGGCATGAGCCACCGGTCCCCAAGGTAGCCTGATGATTTTGGTGTGACAGAGAAACCATACAACTATGGCTTTTCAGTTCTAGCTCAGCCATTCAAGTCTCCTTAGAGAGACTTAGCAACTTTACCTTTCAGAACATCTTTACCTGTGAAACAAGAACAGTAATCCCTTTCAGTGTGGTTTGAGAGCAGAATTAAAGTGGAAGAGTATAGGTAAAAAGTGCCTGGCTCAAGTTGGCAGTTAAGCAGATTGGTATTTGTCTACTTCTCGTGGCATTTGAAATCTGTTACTCATAAGTAACGGCTCCTACACTTATTATCATGGTGGACTGCTCACTTTCTCTCTGCTTGGAGCACAGCTATTCCAAAAACAAACATGGGAAAATTGAAGACTAACTATGCATCTTGGTAAATAAATAAAATAAATACTTTTAAAAAAATTAAAGAAGGGGTTGAACATTTATGGGAAGCATGGAGACCTTTAACAACTAATGGGTCATTTCTGAAAAAGGCCAGGCATGCAGACATTTATGGATGTTTAGATTTTTTTCCCCCTAAATGTCACCGGGGTCCAGAAATATGCCCTGGCACCTTGGTAGAAGAAACTTAAGATACCCAGCCAAAGCCTTGTCCGAACCCACATCTAGAAAGCGCACGGAGACTTTAGGAGATGGGAAAGCGGCCAGCCGACCCGAATCCAGTTCTCCCAAGAGATAACAGAAAAAGGTCTTTGGAAAGTAGTATCTGCTCGGAGGAGGTGTAAGCCAAGTCCAAGAGGAAAGTCTACCTTGCCAGACAATGGAGACGTCCGCCCTACAGGAAGCAACTCAGATCTTAAGCAGGAAAGGGGAGTGGAGATTGCATTTTTAAAAAAGCTTTTTTGAAAGAGCCCAGAAAAGAAAAGGAAGAGCCACTTTCTAGTTATTCATGAAGCTTCCAGTCACACACCCACTGTTCATCTATCCCAAGGCCATGTTCTGGGAAGAAGGGTGATGCGAAGTCACCAGAATAGGTTCCTCAGTGATTGTCCCCACTTCCTTCCTATGCACAGGGCCCCTAAGCGCCCAGAGTGGAATCCATACCCCCAGAACACGTGAGCCATGAATCCAGGGTCCTGACACCCAGCTGTGGCGTGAAATGGAGAACGTGAAGGGGCATGTGGCGTGTAGGGGACCGTGTGTGTGTGTGTGTGTGTGTGTGTGTGTGTGTGTGTGTGTGTGCGCGCGTGTGTGTATGTGTGATTTCTAGTTTGCAGGATGAGGGTGGTAGTAAGGTGCCTGGGTATGAAAAGGTGGAGGGGGAGATGGAGGTTGAATGGATAATGGAGGGGGGAGGGGGGACGTGTATATGGATCTGGGGGATGTGGATATTGGAGGTGTGGTGATACGCAAAAATGCAGATATGACAGAAAATCAGGGAAGGGTGTGTATGTGTGGGTAGGGTTGGGGACCCAAATGGTAGGGTGGTAGGTGGCTGGAGGGTACCCTCAACTGCCAGCCAGATCGGGGCGTACCTGCCAGGAAAGTATGTGTGTGTGTGTGTGTGTGTGTGTGTGTGTGTGTGTGTGTACACATATGAGTGTGTGTGTTGGGGGTGAGTGGATGGGCAGTCAGTGTGAGAATTACACAACTTGTCCAGTAGGGTATTATGAACCTGAAAAGGGATGAGAGAGAGAGAAGGAGAGACAGACAGACAGACAGAGATGGAAATCTCAAAAAACATATGGGTGTTATTAGTTCAATTGAAAGCGAAATAGCCATGAACAGATGAGCTAAGCAAGACCTAATGAGATTTGATGGTCCACATTTAAAAATTTTTGTTTTCTTTTTTCTTTTTTTTGTCGGTCATGGGGCTTGAACTCTGGGCCTGGGTGCTGTTCCTGCACTCTTCAGCTCAAGGCGAGCACTCTACTGCATGAGCTACTGCACCACTTCTAGTTTTCTAGTGGTTTATTGGAGATAAGAGTCTCATGGACTTTGCTGCCCAGGCTGGCTTTGAACCACGATCCTCAGATCTCAGCCTCCTAAGTAGCTAGGATGACAGGTGTGAGCCACTGGCATCCCGCTAAAAAAATTTTTTTTTAATGCATGGCATGAGAAATAAACAGGAAAATGAGATAGAAAATGGGTGGCTACTAGGCTGGGTTGCAGACAGGGCAGACTTAAGGAGCAGCAAAGACTCTGAAGATGGCAGAGCCAGTGGTTTCCATGACAATGGGATGATGGGTAGATTTCCCCCAAGGGCTACCGGCCCGGCCACAGCTAACCTGTGAGTAAGTTGATCCCCTCAGGTTCCTCTAATGTCTCCCTTTGTAGACAAGTGTGAGACGGATTCTCTAGACCTAAAACCATGACCCTCGTTTCTCCACTGGTCCAGTGAGGACCAGAGAGAACATGGTTCCCTTCCCTGTGTCTGGCCCTATGAGTATGTCCAGTTGTGTTCTTCATTCAAGAATGAGGATGAGGGTTGGGAAGGGGGCTCAGTGGTAGAGTGCTTGCTTCACATGCCTGAGGCCCTGGGTTCGATTCTTCAGCACCGCATAAGCAGAAAAAGCTGGAAGTGGCACTGTGGCTCAAGTGGTAGAGCGCTCGCCTTGAGCTGAAGAGCTGAGGGACAGCACCCAGACCCAGAGTTCAGGCCCCACGAGCAACAACAACCACAAAAAAAAATCAAATGGCTCACCTACGCTGCCACCCTCCCTGTGTGGGAGCGCTCATGGCTCACACCTGTAATCTTAACTACGCAGGAGGATCTCAGTTCAAAGCCAGCCAGAGCAGGAAAATCCATGAGACTCTTATCTCCAAGGGGCCTGCAAAAAGCCGGAGATGGACCAGTGGTTTAAGTGGTAGAGCAAAAAAGCTAATAACAGTGTTGAGGCCCTGAAGTTAAGCCATGTAGCGTGACATAGATGTTGGTTTTTATATCATCATGAAGACATTTACTCCTTTTTCTAATTTTATTTTATTTTCTGCTGGTCCTGGGTCTTGAATTTTGGGCCTGGGTGCTGTCCCTAAGCTCCTTTGGTTCAAGGATAGCACTCTGCCCCTTGAGCCCCTTGTGACTAATTGGAGGTAAGAGTCTCACAGACTTTCCTGCCCAGGCTGTCTTTGAAGCACTATCCATACATCTCAGCCTCCTGAGTAGCTAGGATTATAGACGTGAACCACCCATGACCGGCTTGTTTCTATATATGTTGGGAATATTCAAAAATCCCATTTTGAAAACTATTCAGTGGTTGTCAACCATAGCTACCTTATTCTATGCATTAAAAAAAAAATTTTTTTGTCGGTCATGGGCCTGAACTCTGGGCCTGGGCGCTGTCCCTCAGCTCTTCAACTCAAGGCTAGCACTCTACCACTTGAGCCACAGCGCCACTTTCAGCTTTTTCTGTTTCTGTGGTGCTGAGGAATCGAACCCAGGGCCTCATGCAGGCGAGGCAGGCACTCTACCACTGAGCCACCTTCCCAGCCCGCTCTATGTTATTTTTAATGGTCATATATTTAGTTCTATTTCATCATCATCATCCTATTTTTAATTGTCATGCAGATATTGCAAGGCATTATTCTATGATGGAAGTCAGGAGACTGAACTTTTCAGAGGCTCCTGACTGCCAAACAATAGAATTGAGATTCTACTGTACATTTCTTCTGCGTTCCTACCATGGGACAGTCAACTCTGACTTTTTTTTTTTCTCTGCTAGAGTAGAAGATGATATTGTCCTAGTTGCCCAAGAGGAAACTCAGCATGCCTTTGCTCATAGGAGAAAAAGTGTTTTGCAAAAGTAGCTTGGAGTGGAAGATGGATGCCTGATTACAGGGGGTGTTATGAATGAACAGGGTCTTAGATGGGTCGCTTCTGATTTGCCAACCATTTAAATGACAAGCAACTGAGAGCTCAGATTGTGAGTGAGTTCAGAACGGCTTGTTCCAGGCCTGCTGATGGGTGTTGCCAGAGTTTCGGGAAGCACGGTCGCAAGGAGCCGAATTAGAAGGATGAGGAAATAGGTCCTTCACTCTTGGAGGAGGATTCGAGATTTGTGCTGATACCCCAGGGGTTTTGGCACTTTGGCCATGCTTCTGAAGATCTTTCCAGAAACACCCCAGTCTGTCTCTACTGTTTTCATAGAGGGCTGCTTGAGGGCTGCATTTGCTAACCTCCTTCTTCTAATACCCTCTCTGTGCATGAGCTCTTTAAAGTGAGATCCTCAGGAATCATGACTCCAAGGTGGCTCATGACTGCCCTGTTTCCTGTTTCCTGGCAGAATTCCCTCTTGACAAAATGACAGGCAGGGGCTGGGAACGTGGCTTAGTAGTAGAGTGCTTGCCTAGCATGCCTGAAGCCCTAGGTTCAATTCCTCAGTACCACATACACAGGAAAAGCCAGAAGTGATGCTCAAGTGGTAGAGCATTAATCTTGAGCAAAAGAAGCTCAGGAACAGTGCCCAGGCCCTGAGTTCAAGCCCCAGGACTGGCAAAAAAAAAAAAAGATAGGCAAAGGGACTTGGTCTCTTCTAGGTCCTTCTTTCTTTCTCTACCCCCAGCTCCAAACCTTTGGACAGACGCTGCTGCTTCTTCTTCTTCTTCTTCTGTCAGTCATGGGGCCTGAACTCTGGACCTGGGCGGTGTCCCTCGGCTCTTCAGCTCAAGGCGAGCGCTCTACCACTTGAGCCACAGCGCCACTTCCTGCTTTTTCTGCTTATGTGGTGCTGAGGAATCGAACCCAGGGCCTCAGGCATGTGAGGCAAGCACTCTACCACTGAGCCACCTTCCCAGCCCAGGGCAGACGCTTCTTATTCAGCTCATGATGGTCTCCCAATGGCTGTGTAGCCCGGTCTACTCCATCTCTCTGGGTCCCTACCCTAGGGCAGCAGAACTTCCTGAACAAGTCTCCTGTACTTTCAAACAGACTTGAGAAGGTCCAGAAATGAGACCCGAACATTCTGCATATTTAAATTGTGGATTGAGTCAGAGGGTTGGCTCCCATGCTGTTGGGGTTGGGACTAGAGTAAACTGGGAAGAGGCAGGGAAGGTCCTGGCCTGTTTCTAGTTAGTACCATAACCCTGTGAAAACTGGCAAACCAAGCCTCTGCTGTCCTCAGGGGGGAAAAAGAATCAGCTCTTGATGTCGTTGAACCTTCCAGAAGCCTGCCTGGGGAGCAGATGAGAAACAGGCTGACTCTGGTTCATGAAGAACCTTCTTCTGAGCCCTTAAAAGCTGGTGATGGTGGCTCAGGGTGTTGCTTGGTGGTAGTTGGCCTTTCTTGGCTGCCTTTCTTGGTGGGGAGATGGGAGTGAGAAATTTGGGGAGATGAGATGCTTTGGGTAAGTCTCCAGGTATAGGATTTAAGAAATCCTATGCTGGGCCGGGTGCCGGTGGCTCAAGCCTATCATCCTAACTACTCAGGAGGCTGAGAGCTGAAGATCGCGGTTCAAAGCCAGCCCGGGCAGGAAAGTCCGTGAGACTCTGATCTCCAATAAAACACTCAGAAAACCAGAAATGGCGCTGGGACTTAAGTGGTAGAGCGCTTGCCTTGAGCTGAAGAGCTGAGGGACAGCGCCCAGGCCCAGAGTTCAAGCCCTACAACACACACACACACACACACACACACACACACACACGCACACACACACACACACACACACACACATCTTATGCTTGGTGGAAAGCTAAAAGAGGAAGTAAGGAGTAAGGAGTAGGATCCAGATATCCAAGCTCACCAGTTCTATGGACAGAGGCCGTCCACTGTCAATGTTCCTAATTAAAAGCCTGTCCGTAGGGCTGGTCTTGTACGAGGTCATTTCTTCCCAACTCTTCCTTCTTTCTGTCTCCAGCATTCATGTATACCTGCCTCTTATTTTCAAGAGAGGATCCTAATTGTCTTCCGTTCTAGAAGACTTTGATCCATGGGGTTGTATTTTAAAACCGCTGTCCCTTTTTTCACAAACTTCAGAGTTTAATCACGGATGGGCTTAGGTCCATTCAGATCTGGCATGAAGAAAAGCCGGTTCTTGGAGTGTTCTCGAATCCATGTGGGAAGCAGAAACAGGCCAAGAGAAACGAGCGAACTTGGATGGAATTGGAGCCAACTGATTACTATTTTATTTTATTTTTTTGAAGTTCACATTTTTTAATAAAAACAGTTTCTGACATGTAATCTGACATTTTTTGAAAGTTAATAATAGTTAAGGGGGCCCTAGAGGGTTGCCTTCTGGGCATTGCATGAGGTCAGACTTCATGAGGATTTTTGTGGCATTGTTGTAGCATGCCACATGCACGGTGAAGATTTAATAAGACAGTCCACATTTTTGTGATCTTTGATGACCATTAAATGTCCCCCCCCCACACACACAAAAAATGCTTTTGCCACCCATGCCAGCAACCATGTCCTAATAAATGTGAATTCAGTTAAATAATGAGGACTAGCGAAATCAAAGGGAAAGCGAAGGAAGGGGGTAACATTGTCCAGAAAGAATTGTACTTGTTACCTGACTTGTGGAACAGTAACCCTTCTGCTGCTAAAATCAATTAAATTATATTTTAGGGCTGGGAAGGTGGCTCAGTGGTAGAGTGCTTGCCTTGAAAACCTGAGGCCCTGGGTTCAATTACTCAGCACCACATAGGCAGAAAAAACCAGAAGTGGCCCGTGGCTCAAGTGGTAGAGTGCTCACCTTGAGCTGAAGAGCTGAGGGACAGCGCCCAAGCCCAGAGTTCAAGCCCCACGACCGACAAAAATAAAGTTTTATTATTTTTTTTAATTTTATGTGCAGAGGGGTTACAGCTCTCTATATAAGGCAATGAGTACTTTTTTTTTTTTTTTGTCAGTCGTGGGGCTTGAACTCTAAGCCTGGGCGCTGTCCCTCAGTTCAAGGTGAGCGCTCTACCGTTTGAGCCACAGTGCCACTTCTGGTTTTCTGGTGGTTTATTGGAGATGAGAGTCTCACGGACTTTCCTGCCCGGGGCTGGCTTTGAACCATGATCCTCAGATCTCAGCCTCTTGAGTAGCTAGGATGACGGGTGTGAGCCACCAGCGCCTGACGTGAGTACATTTGTTGTTGAACATTGTTACCTCCTCCCTTGTTTTTCTCCAACTTAAACTATATTTTTTTTTAAAAAAATCAGAGACTAGCATTTTATTTTGCCAGAGGAGTTACACACACACACACACACACACACACACAACCATTCTCCTACAACAGCTACAACTGTGTCTCATACACACCCCCTACAATCTCACCACCACCCAGCAGCACCAACAGTTCTGGTGAAAACTCCCCTCCTTCCACACAGCCCTTGACAACTGCTATTAGTTGCTGAGCATTTTCACTGCCCTAGCCCCCACCCTCTTCCTCACTCTGGAATTTTCCTTCCGTGCAATCAAGTCCCTTTCTAGGATGTCTGGGAAGGGGGCTCAGTGGTAGAGCGCTTGCCTCGCATGCATGAAGCCCTGGGTTCGATTCCTTAGCACCACCTACACAGAAAAAGCCAGAAGTGGCGCTGTGGCACCACTATTCTATTTGCCTTGAGTAAATAGAAGCTCAGGGACAGCGCCCAGGCACTGGCCAAAAAAAAAAGAATTATAGATGAGATGAGACATAAAGACATCCTGTATGCTCACAATTCTCCAATGTATTCTGTGTGGCCCGCAGGTAGAGGACAGGCAGGGTGTGTGTGTGTGTGTGTGTGTGTGTGTGTGTGTGTGTGTGTGTGGAGGGCGCAGGGGTAGAGGTGGAAGCCCTTCGTCGGGCCTTCCCTTTCCCAGAAGCAGGGGGAGGGGGGCGAGGGGGTGGGAAGGACCATGATTGGAGGCCGACTGCCTGGTGGTGACAGAGGCTCCTGTGGTTACAGGGAACCGCAGCCACCTCCAGGAGGAGCTCTGTCAGAAGCATCGGCCAAATCTACCCCCCAGCAGGTGCCACAGTGCCACACAGGACACCCAGAAGGAGATGGGCAGCATGTGGGGTCTGATGGTAGTAGCCCAGCTGCTGGCTGGCATCGGGACGGTGCCCATCCAGCCATTTGGGATTTCTTACGTAGATGACTTCGCAGAACCCACCAACTCTCCCCTGTACATCTGTGAGTCGTGGGTTTGTAGAGGGTGATGGGGAAAGTAGGGGCGGGGATGGGGGGGGGAGGAAGAGATGGGGGGGTTGGTGCTGGTGTGGTGGTGCTTGCTGAGGTCCTTGGGGGTACGGACATGAAGTCTGATGCTCTTTGTCTTACTGAACAGACCTGGTGGTGAATGGTGGGCTGTGTTAACTGCCCAGCCTCTGTAGCTGACTTCAGGCTTCCAGCTACCTGTGACCCACGGGGTAGAGCCAAGCATAGCAATGTACCATGAAGCTGAAGGTTTACTTAAGCTAATACACATGCCCAGCTAATGTAGATCTTAGACAACAGCTGCTACTCCTGGTACAGACCCTGAGCACATATCTTCTCTAAGGGGGCAGGTTGGCCCTTAAAACACGGACCCACAAAGAAAGAGCAGATGGCCGTTGGAATGCCAGAATCCGTTTCCCCCTGGACCATTTGACGGCTCAGCTCACTCAGACACCACACCCGCAGACTCACCCCATAACTTCCTGCTAGGGTCACCAAGCTCTATATACCCAAGGGAGGTTTCACCCATCAATGTACCACACCCTGAGCTGGCATTTCTCCCCAGGCTAGCAGGTTTAACTGGTAGGTCTCTGGAGGAGAAGTAGGTTTTAATCCCTATATGTTGGCGAATTGTGAGTGGTTCTGGCCTTGTCTGTGGGAAATGCCACAGGCACCAGCTTGTTAGTACCAGGGGACCAGGGGTGACATCTCAGGGATTTCCCCCTCATCTTGGAAAGTCTAAGATGCTGAACTGTCTCAGTCATTCTCAAACTCCCTTCCCCTTGTTTCCATGTCTAGCCATCTTATTTGCCATCGCCGTCTTTGGACCAGCTTTTGGGTACCTGCTAGGGTCTGTCATGCTGCAGATCTTCGTAGACTATGGCCGGGTAAACACAGGTAGGTGTGTACAGGACATACATCCCATCGCCAGATCCAGGGAGCATAAGCCTGTTTCCCACTCAGTCAACCCGCAGCTTGGGATTCAGGTTGTCACCTCATTTCCTGGCTTACTCACTCCTGCAAGGCCCTCAGATTACTGAAAGCAGGGAGTCTGTGCCTCCCTGCATGCCCCCCCCCCGCCTGCCCCACCAACTTCTTCACTGCTTCCCAGGCTTTAGATCTCTTGGTGAATGAGTCAGAGAATCAGGAAAAATAATTTTCTACTTTGTTGCTGATTTAGGGAAAATAAATCAGAGTTCTTTTTTATTGTGTGGGGGCGGGGGGAGGATGTCATAGCATGGGGAGAAAGAATGCTACATAAAATATAGCTGTAGAGCTGGGCACTGGTGTCTGTCATCCTGGCTACTCAGGGGGCTGAGATCTGAGGATCGAGGTTCAAAAGCTAGCCTGGGCAGGAAAGTCCATGAGTCTCTTATCTCCAATAAACCACCAGAAAACCAGAAGTGGCACTGTGACTCAAGTGGTAGAGCGCTTGCCTTGAGCTAAAGAGCTGAGGGACAGTGCCCAGGCCCAGAGTTCAAGCCCCACAACCCCCCCCCCACACACACACAAAGATATATCTAGGATTATACTTCTTATCCAGGCATAACCTATAACCATGTGGGCCTCATATTGGGCTGCCTGTATTTAATCCCAGAGCTACCTCTTGCTAGTGACATTAGCCATGTAACTTCTTTTTTTTTTTTTTTTGGTCAATGGGTGAGGCTTGATCTCAGGGCCTGGGTGTTGTTCCTGAGCTCTTTTGCTCAAGGCTTGTACTGTACTCCTCTGAGCCACAGAGCCACTTCTGGTTTTCTGGTGGTTAATTGGAGATAAGAGTTTCACTGACTTTCCAGCCCTGGGCTGGCTTTGAACCATGATCCTCAGATCTCAGCCTCCTGAGTAGCTAGGGTTACAGGCATAACCCACCAGCACCGGTATAACTTCAACTTTCTGTGATTAAGTTTCCTCACCTGGGCCCAGTGATAGTAAAATACTGTTGCTGTGAGGATCAGACCAGATTGAAAAGAAAGGAATAGAGAGGAAAGGAACAGTGGCAAGCCAGGAGACGTTTGTTCCTTGAGATCAAGCCATCTTTGCCTTCTTGCTGGTACTCTATGAGTTGGTTCCTGATTCTTTGGCTACCCAAATTGATCATCAACTGAACTTCTGGTCTACCTGATATAGCACCCAAGGGTACTTATCATTGTGACTGGGAACTGTTCTGCCACCTTCTTCTTCTGTCTGTGCCCATGTAGATTGTTTGCATGGGGGAACAAAATGGCAGGCTTCTAGCTAGGTGAGAGGGAAAAGCCTATCCCAAGGTTGCTATTAATGACTGTTTCCTTAGACCCCTAGGGATTATCGGGGCCCATCTTTTGTATGGATCAGTACAGTTGTGAATTAGTAAAGTTCAGTGGTTAAGAGTATAGGCTGGACAATAGATGAGTGGATCCAAAAAAATGTGGTACCTAGGTACAATGAAATTTTCCGTCACCATTAGAAAAAATAAAATAATGTGCAGGGAAATGGATTGAACTAGAACAAATCATGTTAAGTGAGGTAAACCGAGATCAGAGAGACAAACAGTGCATATTCTCCCTGATATATGGAAGTCAGATCTTAAAACGGCACTGGGATTGGACAAGTTGCATAGACTTCTAGATGCTCACATACAGTGAGACCAAAAGAGAGTAGTCTTAGGAGAGAATCACAAAAGTACAATACACACACACACACACACATATGCATATATATTATATACATATGTATAACATATTATATATTATATAATATATAATATATATGTGTGTGTAATATATATATATATATATATATATATATATATATGATAGTATACATACTGAAAGGAACTCCAAAGATATGGAAACAAAGGACTTCTTTCCTTAATTCATTGTTTTCTTTTTCTGATTCTGTATTCCTTACCTCCTATGTGGTATATTCATGCGCACATCTGTAGGAAGGTGGGGGGAGGGCACAGAATCAGAGGGAAAAGGGTGGAAAAAGTGCAGCAGTGGAGAGCACTGGACATGGAGGAAAGTGAACTATGCAACTCATCGATGGAGACGGGAAGAGAGGGAATGGGAGAGAATGAGGGAACAGATGAAACTATGCAACAGGAAACATACTTATTCCCAACATATGGTGTGTATCACCTCTAAAACAATAATAAAGTAAATTAGAAATAAAAAAAAGAGTGTGGGTTGGGTTACTAGGAAGGCAGGTTTGAAATTTTTTGGACAAGAGCCTCAACCTCTCAACCTTAATCATGGACAAGAGCCTCAACCTCTCAAATGCTCAGTTTCCCGATTGGTTAGGGGCGGAGAGATGTCATTCCCACTTTACAAATGTGCTAGGAGAAAACGATAGGATGAAAGTAAGATCTGAACAGTAGGATCGGTCTGTACCTTGGTAAACCCTCTGGAGAGACCATGGCTGCCACTGTTATTTGTGCCAGGAGCTGCGACCTTATGACCTCCTAATTCTGAGGATTCCTGTACTGTGGCCTTGGCTCTTTGGAAAGACTAGAATGGCCTGGAGAAGAAACGTTGTCCTGATCAAGGTCCTAGCTCATAGCTTGCGTTGTCTCTATTATGGGAAGAAAGCTAATTAATCACCCTCTGGCCAGGCGCTGGTGGCTCATGCCTAGGATCCTAGCTCATCAGGAGGCTGAGATCTGAGGATCGCAGTTCAAAGCCAGCCAGAAAAGTCCCTGTGAGATTCTTATCTGCAATGAACCACCAGAAAACCACAAGTGGCACTGTGGCTCAAAGTGGTAGGGTGCTATAGCCTTGAGCAGAAAAGCTCAGGGACAGCTCCCAGGCCCTGAGTTCAGACCCCATGACTGACAAAAACAAAAAGCAGGAAACACCCCCCCCCCCCGAATGGTTTCCCTTCCCCATACAGTGAGCTCATGTGTACATTCAACACTTGTCTTCTTTGGTTTCTCTGCAGCTACAGTGAACTTGAGCCCTGGTGACCCTCGGTGGATTGGAGCCTGGTGGTTGGGCCTGCTCATTTCTTCAGGCTTCCTGGTTCTCACCTCTTTCCCCTTCTTTTTCTTCCCTAGAGCAATGCCCAGAGAGGCAGAGGTAAGTTTCTGACAGTCCATGACTCTACTGACAGGAGCCAGAAAAGAGAGGCATGTGGACTGGAGGTGTTGCTCAAGTGGTAGAGTGCTTACTTAGCATGCCTGAGGCCTGAGGAAGGAGAGGAAAGGAAGGAAGGAAGGAAGGAAGGAAGGAAGGAAGGAAGGAAGGAAGGAAAAAGGAAGGAAAGAATTGAATCAATAAATCCAGGTGCTGGTAGCTCATGCCTCTAATTCTAGATATTCAGGAGGCTAAAGATCTAAGGATCAGGGCTGGGAAGGTGGCTCAGTGGTAGAGCGCTTGCCTTGCATGCATGAGGCCCTGGGTTCGATTCCT